AAAAAAAGTTGGCAGCAACTGGGCGTAGCTGGGGTTTAGACACTCCCACTCCTCCCAGCACTCTCTTTAACATTATGACAAATAGGTTCGCTGACTTGCCCTCCCACATTTTTTTTTTTTTTTTCTAGGTGAGACAGAGTCTCCCAGGCCCACTCTGAAATTACAGTGATCAAGAGATAGCTCAGTAGAATAAGTGAGTGCCTGGCAAGTGCAGGGTTCTGACTTCAATCCCTGGTTCTGCAAAAAAAAAAAAAGAAGAAAAAAAAAATTAGAGTGATCCTCCTGCCTCAGCCTCCCAAGTGCTGGGATTACTGGCAGGGGCCATCACACTCAGCCTTTAGCTTGGTTTTGAGATAGTGTCTTAGTGTATAGTTGCAGCTGGCCTTGAACTCACTATGTAGCCAAAATTGGGCTCACTCATGGCAATCCTCCTGCCTCAGTTTCCTGACTACTGGGACTACAACAGTGCCCGGCTTGGCTTCTCGCTAGCAATTTCTGCTTGGCCTCTGGATGGGAAGCTCTCAAAGGCTCTCTTGGCTTAAATCACCTCTGACCATGACTCATCTTTAGTGACCGCAGGTGCTGAACCAGAAGCTGGGTGTGAGGCGCAGAAGCAGTAACAACCAAGATGAAAGCCAGGTGTGGTGGTGCATGCCTGTAAACCCAGCACTTGGGAGGCTGAGGCAGGAGGATCAAATGAGTTTGAGGCTGGCCTGGGCTGCATAAAAGCCTGTCTCAAAAAACTGAAAAACCAAAAGTCAAACTAAAAAAAAACAACAAAAAACCCAAAACAAAAAAGGGCTGTCTTACTACATTCCTGCTGGCAAGGCTGAATTCTGTATAAAGCCCGTAGGTGGCCAGTGGCGATCTCTAGGGGATGTGATGGTTGGGATCAGAATTGGAAAGAAGTTAGCGGCTTTTATTGTCATCTAAGGATTTAGAGCAGAGGACAGGAAAACTGGGAGAAGCCAGGTGTCTGTTGAGGGCACCATCACATGTGCAGCCTCACAGTCACAGCTGAGAGCAGTTATGGCTCGTAGCCAGGAAGTGGATCCTGGAAAGAAACAGGAAAAACAAAAAAAACTAAAAATGAAAAAGGAAGGTATAGGAAGAACACTGAGAAGGAAATCAGAGGGTGTGTTCCCTGGCTCTGGGCCTACCACTCAGTAGCTCTCCTCTCACCTCTCAGGCACGTCCTCAGGGCTCACAGGACCTGACAGAATTTACCGGAGAGACTGCTCTGGCACATGGTGCCAAGGTGGGTGCCACGGTACCTGGTGTGGTAGAGAAGTGCTGCTCAGGGCCGGGCAAACAGGAAGCAGAGAATGAAGAAGGGAAGAGAGACAAAACCTACCAGGCCATACCCCAGTGACCCCTCCTAACGGTGCATGTAGGTATAATTTAGCATGGGACAACTCCACTAAGAAACACAGCGTCCCTTGACCTAGTCAGTGTCTGTGATCACATGAGGATCTTGGGGGCAGCTATATAAAAGCTTTAACACGCTACATCCCTGAGTCTCTTTCCTCAGCTTCAAAATGGAATCATTATGCTGACCTGCCTGTCTCAGAGTTACATGAAGCCTAATCTGGCATTCCAGAGAGCAAAGCAACTGGGAGGTGAGCTTCAGGACCAGGCTTTACAATGCCAAGGAGTGCAGGGCCCTGGTCTGCAACCCTCTCATTTGAGACTTCAAGGGGAGCAGTGAGTTTTATAAAAAAGTAGCCTCCCCCTTCGTGCTTTTAGGGTCAGGTACATTAAATCAACCAAAGGAGGAGAGATTATAGGACATAGGGGAACCCCCCAAAGTGTAAGTTTCACCACAGGCATTCTGAAGATAAACACAGGTTCTTGTCATCAGTCTAGAAGTCAAAAGAATAAGGAAACACTTAGCAGACCTTGAAAGAAGCAGTTGCATTTTGAGGGAGAGGAAACCCATTGTTCCACACTGCACAGTGAGCCCACAGGGAGCAAGAGGTGGAGGAGACTGCATTGGATGGCCCTTGCCCCAGACCAAGAGGAGGAACCTGAGGACCCAGATGGGAAATGCTTGCCCAAGGCCACACTGCTGGTTCCTGGCACAGCTGGACTCTAATGTGGCTTCTCAACTTGCACTTCAGGGCTTTTCCTCCATGTAGATCAGTTGGGATTGCATTTAGCCACAAATGGTAGAGAAGAATGGGCTTGTATCAGTAAGGATGCAGAAGCTGGTGGTATAGCTTGGTGGTACAGCATCTGCCTAACGTGTGCAAGGCTCTGGTGTGCAAGGCTCTGGATTTGATACTCAGAACCATCAGAGCAAAGTAACAAACTTGCCGGGTGTGGTGGCCCACACCTGTAATCTCAGCTGAGGTAGGAGGATCCAGTGAGTCAAGGCTAGCCTGAGCTATAAAGTTGAGAGCCTTTCTCAAAAAATAAAAGAACATTTTTAGTTCAATTTATAGAGAATTTGGTCTAAACTTGCTTTGTCCTATCTTTAATAAAACTTTGCTACCATTTACCCATGTCTTGGTCAATTCTTTGTTCGATACAGAAATAACCTAGAAACCACCCCCAAGAGGAGATGTTAGCTTGCCAAGAGCCGGTTAATATGGACCACATAAGTGTTCACTAGGGGTTGGGAATCTTTGCTCCTTTGGACCAAGTCTATCCTCCATGACTGTAATGTAGACCAAACAGTAATTTTGTTTTCTAGCAACCACTTCTTATTTATTTCCCCAATTCATTGACTATTAGAAATTACTGCTCCCCTTGAGGTTTCATTTTTTTAATTATTTATTTTTTTATTTATTACATTTATTTATTGTGTGTGTGTGTGTGGCCAGCTCAGCCCACCAGGGGGCGGAGCTGGCTGGCATGTGGTGCTGGGGGATTGAACCGCGGTCCCTGTGATTTGCTAAGCTTGTTGTAAGTAGGTGCTTTAGACCACTGAGCCATCTCACCAGCCCAAAGGATTAGGAGTAATTACATTATATATATATATTTTGTATTTTAGGGGAGGGTCTTCAGGGTGTTCAGGGTCTTACTACTAGATCAGACTTGTAGTGATTCGCCTGTTTACAGCCTCCCAAGAGCTGGGGTTACAGGCTTGTGTCACCACCCCCAGTTTCAATTGTGTCTCAGTGCATCCCGGGGGCGGGGCCAGCGTGGCAAGCCCGGGGATCGAACCCCTGGCTCCTGGGCCTGCTTGCAGGTGCTTTAATCTGCTGAGCTATTTGTCTGGCCCTGTTAGTTTTTATATAGCTGTCCCCAAGATCCTCATGTGACCACGGGCACTGACTCGAGTCATGAGGATGCTGCACTTAACACATATTCTTTTTAAGTTCCCTTACCTATTGTCTTTTTGAGACAAGGTTTCACTACGCAGTTTAGGCTGGCCTTGAACTCACTTTGTAGCCTTGGTTGGCCATGAATTCGTAGTAATCCTCCTGCTTTAGCAGCCTGAGTGCCGTGATTATAGGTGTGTGTCACCACGCCCACTCCAAATTATTTTAAATAACATCGGATTTAACCAAATATTATACTCCACTGAAATCCATTTTGTTTCTCACTCAAGTGCTGAGCAAGCCCGATCCTGCATACCGTCCCAGAACCTGCGCGTTTAGGGTGATATGGTTGTAGATTGTAATCAATTTTGTTATCAATTATCTCACTTGTGACTAATAAGAATAAATGAGATATTTTGTATATGTTTCTCTATTGTCTCGGAAATCCCTTTACATTTACAGACATTCTCAACTTGGACCAGCCAAATTTCCTTTGCAGAACTCGGGGGCCAAGCGTGGAAGGCTCCCCGTCGCCCCTCTTCCCCATCCGTCACTGCCCCTCCTCCCCATCCCTCACGGCCCCGCGGGGTCCCTTCCAGCAAGAAGCCGGCCGCGCCCGAAGCCCCGCCCCACCCCGCCCACTTACGTCACAGAGCCCATAGTCTGGTTTGAGACCCAAGCCTAGGCCGGCGTTCCAGATCCCTCACCTTCTCGGCTCTAGGTAGCCGGGCTCTACAAGCAAGCGGCCGCTGCCACAGCACAGCGGGCCCGGGCAAGCAACCTGCTCTGGCGCTCTCTAGCCCCAGAGCAGCGGTGTAGACCCCCCAGGCGCACCTCACCATCAACGGCCTCGGCTCGTGCTGCTTCCACGGGGAGGGTGAGGCGCCCAGGCCGGCGCCCATTGGCTCCTGGCGGCCCTCAGCCCGCCTCCTCACCACACCTATTGGCCGGGGCGGCGGAGCCCGCTGGGTAGGCGGTGGCGACGCCCCGCCCCCGCCCCTGCCCCGGCCTTCTGGAGGGCGACGAGGAAGCGGCCACCTCCCTGCGCCCCGCCCCTCGGCTTGCTGCAGGCTCTTGCGGCTCCCGCTTCTCCCGGCTCCCTCCAGCTCCAGCTCCGGCTCGGTGTTGGCGGCAGGTAGGTACAGTCACCGGCGCGCGCCATCGAAGGGGCGAGGCTTAGAGGCTACTAGGGCTGTGAGCGGCGCCCCAAGGCCAGCCGGGACCCTGCAAGGCCCGCCTGAGGCGGGGAAGGGCGGCGGCCGCGCGCCTCAGGGACGCGGGGGCGACGCGCACGGGGCGGGCAGCGGCCTGCAGGCGACTTTCGGTCCTCTGGAGCGGGAGGAAGCGGAGTGGGGTGGGGGGGCCGGGGCTGGGGCCGGGGGCCTGTGTGGGCTCAGGATGTCGGGGGCTTGGGAGCCTTCTTCGGAGGAGTTGGGGGTTCCGCTGGTGTGGGACCAGGGCTCGCCTTGGGACCGTCCCCTGGGAGTTATGGGAGGTCTGCGCGTCTGCCCCCTTCGGGCGTGGCCCTAGCGCTTAGGGAGCGCCAGCCTTTCTATGTGTGGCTGTAGAGTGCAGACAGGTCCCCGACATTGAAGGTGGGGACAGCGGAGTGGAGATGGGGACCTTAGGGGAGATTGGAGACATCTCTCGGCGGAGATTGCGCCGGACCACATTTTTCGTCAGTGTGTTCTCTAAATTCATTTATAGTTGAAATCGCCTCGTACACTGGTTTTAGGGGTTTTGCTCGTCTCTAGAAATGTGTAAGTTAAATGCATTTGCTGATTTGCGGAGGAAACGGGGCTTTTGTTTTAGGACTCCGATATGGGGTGAAGCGTGCACACCTAGGGAAGGCTAGGGTTACCCAGGTTTCAGCTGGAAACCCCCTTTTCTCCTTTCCCTCCTCTGGTCCAGTTACACTATTGCTCCCCAGGGCCTCTCGATTCTCTTTTCTCTGGCTGCATAGCACTGCAGTCTCGCTGTGTGTGTGTGTGTGTGTGTGTGTGTGTGTGTGTATCTCCCGCCCATTTTCCTGCTGTTGCGCTTTTGGCAACTGTCTCTGCTCTTTCCCAGGGATGGTTGTGGCATTGCATCAGGGGATATTTGTGCTTGTAATTTGCTCACTCAGCCCGGGAGGAGGGAGAACTGTCTGCTGCCGAGTGGGGGGGGGGGCTGCCATACGGTTGGCTGGGTAGGCAGAGGGTTGGGTGTGGTGAGGCAAATTCAGCTGCTCCAAGCCTACGGGGTAGCACTGCCCAGTCATCAGTCAGAGATTCAAAGACCAGCAGCAGCTATTTTTATAAATCAATCCTGAATCCAAGCTGAGCACATGGATTTAGAGTGAACAGTTGTCATGATCGAAACTATTACAGGCTGGGTGTTTGGTAGACAACATTAGAGTTGCTAAGCAGGAGACTGTATCTATAGTGCGGTGGGTACTTGGAACTTTGGAACTTTGCTTTTCTTAACTCTCTAGAATGGGACTGTCTCCAGGGATTACTTATTTATTTAGTTTTGACTTTTTGGAGACAGTATTTTGTTGTGTAGTTCAGGTTGGTCTTGAACTGATGCCTCCTGCTCTTGCCTCCTGACTCCCTGAGCGCTAAGGTTACAGGCTTGTGCCGCCATCCCCAGATTTAATTTTATGTACTTTTCTTGGCCCCCTCTTTTTGAGACAGGGTCTCTATGTAGTTCAGGCTGGCCTTGAACTCATTATGTAGCCCAGGCTGGTCTCTAGCTTACAGCGATCCTCTTGCATACAGGCATGTGCCGCCACACTGGCTTTATTTATTTTGAGACAAGGTGTCACTAAGTCACCAAATTGCCCAGAATGGGCTTGAATTTGGGATTTTCCTGCCTTGACCTACTGAGTGTTTTGATTACAGGCATGCACTACCACTGGGTGTTCTTTAAATTCCTGGAGTTACATTTTTTTTTTTTTTTTTTAGATGAAATGTCTTCAATCTTCCTTTCAAATTTAGTTTTAAAATAAAATGAGGGCTGGGGAGATGGCTCACTAGAATAAGCGCTTCCCTGGCAAGCACAAGGGCCT